CAGGAGGAGGAGCTGGAATGGGGAAGAGGGCGTGTTCCCTGGGTCCTGTAATCCGCTGGCTGGCAGTCACTGTGGGCACCACCCTTGGTCTGGCCCACATGACACTGACCTTTCACGCCTCTCAGGGAATGTGCTTCAGACGTGTCCCCAGGCAATGTGTCGCTCTGGCTGTGTGTCATTGTCCCCCCCTGTTCAATGTTTGCAGAGCAGATGCCCGTGGGAGGATAGTTCCCGGGACACACGTTGTCCCTACTAAAGACGTTCCCCCTCATGCTGGACTTCCATATGGGGCCATAATGGAGGAAAACTTTTTTTTTTTTAAATATATTTTATTGATTTTTTACAGAGAGGAAGGAGAGGGATAGAGAGTTAGAAACATCGATGAGAGAGAAACATCGATCAGCTGCCTCCTGCACACCCCCTACTGGGGATGTGCCCACAACCAAGGTACATGCCCTTGACGGGAATCGAACCTGGAACCCTTCAGTCTGCAGGCCGACGCTCTATCCACTGAGCCAAACCGGTTAGGGCAGGAAAAGTTTTTTTAACCAATAAAAGCAGAGTCCTCTATGCCGACCTCCTTGGCTGTGGGGTCAGTGAGGTGTAGCCAGCCCCCGCGGGGCCATCTTTCTCCCCAGGGAGGGGGCTAAGCCAGCTGCCTCAGCCATGTCTGTTCCCTGCTCACAGGTGAACTGGTGGCCCACTTTCTGACCGCAGACATGGACAGTTTTTCCTACTTGAAGAAGGTCTCCACAGAGGGTCACCTGTACAACGGCTTCAACCTCTTAGCAGCCGACCTGAGGTGAGTCTGCTGGGGGTGGGGTGGGGGTGGCTGCCCACCGAGTGCCCCCACGGGACTGGGACTGGACCCAGCAGGGAGTAGGGTGCCTGCCCCGCTGCTCAGCTTGGGTGCCGTGGCATCTGGGGCAGCCTCTCTTAGTCGGCTTGGTGAGCGTCCTGAGGGTTGAGCCCCGCTCCCAGACCCACTGCCGTGGGGACCTGGGAAGCAGAGCTTCGCAGTGGGGCTCCCTGTGACGGTGTGGGGGCTGTTGGCTCCTGCCATCGGGGAACTGGAGCACGACTGCAGGGCGCTCCCCTAGTACAGGGCATGCCCCCTGCCGACACCCGCCCCTCGGACCCAGGTCCTCTCCCCGTGCCTGTGGCTGAGGAGCCCCTGTTTTGGGACCGTGCCTCACTTGCACTGCTCTCTGGGAGGCAGCGGTGCCCCAGGTTGGAGAAGGAAGGTGCAAGCACAACTGGCAGTGGCCCTGGAGCGCTCGGGGACCCCATGGGGATAGGGCTGTGGCGACTGCCAGGCAGCGAGGGGTCTGCACGATCCGTGACCCCTGTATGACCCTCTCGGCCCTCCTGTTCACAGCACAGAGAAGGGAGATGTCTTCTGCTACTATGGAAACCAGGGGGAGCCCGAACCCATTGTCCTGGCGCCAGGTGAGCCTGCTCTGGTGGGTGGCGACAGCGTGGGGGCTGCTCCTATGGGGACACCGCTGTACTTTTCAGAGACTGGGGCCCGCTCATATTTCTCTCCTGGGACTGCTTTTTGGCTGTTTGTGTACCTTATGGCCTACATCACAGGCTGCCCTCAGCTGAGGCCGCCTCCCCCCAGCGCTGAGCCTGGGACTGCCCTGAGAAAACGGGAAACTAAAAGGCACAAAAGGACAGAGGGTGCCACCCCCTCCCACCCCCAAATTCTATGCATCGGCCCCGAGGCCTTTGTGGAAGCATCTGGAATCCATCTCCGTGATGCCCTCAGTTCTCAGTGCTAGCGACTCTGTGACTAGAGATGCTTGTTTTTTGCTAGATTGTTGTTTGGAAGAAATTCTTTTCACCTACATCCTATTGTTTCATCCCTGAGCCTGCCCTCGCCTGGCCCATGTCACTGTCTTTTTAATAACAGTTTTATTGAGATACTAGTAGGCCTGTGCATGAATTCCTGCGCCAGTAGGTCACTGCCACCCTCCTGTAGTTCTCCATCGCCCTCCTGTAGCTTCCTCCGCCCCCGCCCCCCTTAGCTTGTTGCCCTGCCCTTTCCTGTAGCTCTCTGCGGCCTTTGTAGCCAGTAGGTCGTTGCCACCCTCCTGTAGCTCTCCACCCACTGCACCGCCCTCCTGTAGCTCACCGCCTCCCGCTTGCTTGCTGCCCTGCCCCGTCCTGTAGCTCTCTGCTGCACGTAGCCAGTAGGTCGCTGCCGCCCTCCTTTAGCTCCCCCCGCCTCCCCTCCTCACCCCACTCATAGCTTGCTGCCCTGCCCCCTCCTGTAGCTCTCCACAGCCCGCTTGTACCTCGCTGGCCCACCCTCCTGCTGATCTGTGATCTGGTTGTGATGCGCTTGGTTGTTATGTCTCAGGGCGTAATGGCTAATTAGCATATTCCTCTTATTATATAGGATTATTGACTATATTCCCTATGCTGTACTTTACATCCCCATGACTATTTTGTAACTGCCAATTTGTACAACTTAATCCCTTCACCCTTTTCACTCATCTCCCCAACCACCCTCTGACAACCATCAGTTTATCTGTATCTATGAGTTTTTGTTTTTTAGATTCTACAAATAAGTAATATCACATGGTATTTGTCTTTTTCTGTCTGACTTATTTCACTTAGCATAATACCCTCCAGGTCAATTTGTTGCAAATGGCAAGATTTCACTCTTTTTTTTTTATGGCTGTGTAATATTTCATTGTATATATGTACCATTTCTTTATCTATCTGTCTATTGATGGACTCTTAGGTTGCTTCTACATCTTGGCTATTATTAAGTGACACTGCAATGAACTCAGGGATGCATATAATTTGTGAATTCGTGTTTTTGATTTCTTTGGATAAATAGCCAGAAGTGAAATTGCTGGGTAATTGCTCTTAGTTCTATTTTTAATTTTTTTAGAAACCTCCATACTATTTATTACACCAATTTATAATCTCACAGCAGTGCACAAGGATTCCCTTTTCTCCACATCCTCGCTAACACGTTTGTTGACCTATTGATGATAGCCATTCTGGCCTGTGTTTTGGTGTGATGACATTAACTCATGGGGCCTGCGGTGCAGAACCGCACTGGGGATCGAGCCCGCAACCCAGGCATGTGCCCTTGGCCAGAATTGAACCCGGGACCCTTCCGGTCCGCAGGCTGACTCTTTATCCACTGAGCCAAGCCGGCTAGGACTGTATTTTTATTTTTAAGTTGAAGTTCATTATATATTCTAGCTTCTAGTCCCTTATCAGATATATAATTTAGAAAAATTGTCTACCCTTCTTTGAGTTTTCTTTTTACTTTCTTGTTGATCAAGAAAGTTTTGAAGTGCATCATTATAAATTGATGATGTCCATTTTATATTTTTTCTTTTTTGTTTTTTTTTTGTTGTTGTTGTTGTTTTTTTTTGTGTGCTTTTGGTATCATAGCTAAGAAATCATTGCCTAATCTAAGGTTGTGTAACTTTCCCCCTATACTTTCTTCTAAGAGTTTTATAGTTTTAGCTTTTACATTTAGGTCTTTGGGACATTTTGAATTGATTTTTGTATATGGTGTGAGGTAGGGGTTCCACTCCATTCTCTGCATGTGGCTGCCCAGATGCCCAGCTCTACTGATGAGTGGCCTTTCCCGTCACTCCTGATAGATAAAGCACAGTGATACTCTGGGCTGGTGGTGTGGCTATGGGGGCCTGGCAGAGCCAGGGCTGTCTTCCTTGGAAGTTGCTGAAGTCATACTTAGTCAAGTTCTTGCCTGGAAAGTCTGGTAGCGGGGGGCCTGGCAAAGCCAGGGCTGTCTTCCTTGGAAGTTGCTGAAGTCATGCCATACTTAGTCAAGTTCTTGCCTGGAAAGTCTGGTAGCTGGAGGGGGTGGTGACTGCCTGTCCTCAGTGTATCTTTCAGGACGTATGACTCTGAGCTCCCCTACCCCTGCTACTTGCTGTAGCCTCTCCACCTCAAGGCTATGTCTCTCTCTCTTTTGACATGAGAAACCCCCCTTTTTTTGGTGATGCCTTCTATTAACCACCGAGAACTTGTTCTGAGAAACTTGTGTCAAGACCTTAAGGCTCTCCCAGCCAGGGTCCCTGCCTGCTTGTAGAGGAGGCCCTGTCCGTGCCCACTAGGTGGGGCTGTTGTGATGTGGTGGGTTCTCTACCTGCTGATGTAAGCCAGGACCGATTTGGGGCAGTCACCCTCCTGGCCTCTGGTTGTGATTTTCCGACCCTTGACCTGCTCGGGTGGACCCACACATTGAAGCCTTTTCCTAGCTTAGGGAGGGATGAGAGTGAGATGGGGAGGTGGTTCCCCCTTTCCTTTGCCCAATTGGATTTCAGGTTGTTTATTCCTTATTGTCAAGGCCATTTGGCCTCAGTACCTTGCAGTCTCCTATTGGTGCCCCACCATGTTGAGTTTTCCACCTCTTGCCATGCCGTTGGTTAGGAATACCCATAGAGAAGATGCTGGAGTGTGGGGCAGCCTGGCCTCAGTGCCCCCAGCTGTATCCTGGCACCTTGCCTGGTGCTGGGTAGGTGGGCGGGAGCTTACCCTAAATTCAGACAGTGGGGCCTTTGCACTGGTGGACTGACCCCTCTCTGCAGGGACCTATGGGCTGAGCAATGCGCTGCTGGATACGCCTTGGAGGAAGCTGTGCTTTGGGAAGCGGCTCTTCCTGGAGGCTGTGGAGCGGAGCCAGGCCCTCCCTAAGGAAGTCCTCGTGGCCCAGCTTCTGGACGTGCTCAACAACGAGGAGGCGTGAGTGGGTGGGTCCTGCTGGGGTGAGCAGAGTGTCTCCCCATCACTCTGGCCCTGGGGCAGAGAGGCAGGCAGTCTCTGCTGCCCTGTGAGGCCCGTGGAGGTGACTGGGGCCAGCTCCTCAGCTGAAGGAGAACCTGACGGATATGCTGACACGCTGTCCTCTGCCCCCTCCCACCTGTCCCTGTGGACAGGTAACGTTTCCGATGGGGGCCTTTGAGGATGGGAGATGGGGCAGTCGTGGGCCAGTAGTGTGCTGGGAAGCTCGGTGCTTTCAGAGCTTGATGTGGGCTTGGGTGGTGCTCACAGGAGCTGGAGGCTCCCCTCTGTTTGCACACAGGAGCTGTGGCACAGAGGCCCACCCAGATATTACCTGGGGAAAAGCTGTCTCCGGCCCAACTTCCCTGAGGCACTCCCGCGGTCTCTGCATGGAATGGCATATTTCAGCCATCCCAGTGGGGGTAGGGGTGTGTGTCAAGGTGCTGGCCAAGCTACCTTCCTCCCACGCAGCAACACGGCCCACACATCCCTCCTCTACCCCACTAAGGCCAGGCCAGTGTCCTGCCCAGATGCCCATGGCCTCTACACAGCAACACGGCCCACACTACCCCCCTCAGGCCAGGCCAGTGTCCTGCCCAGATGCCCATGGCCTCTTAGAAGAGCCGCCCACAGCCTGCCCCTCGCTCCTCCCCTACAGCCCCTTTCTGCCCTGACTCACCCTCCCTCTCCTCTCTGAACCATGAACCAGGGCACCGCCTCAGCACAGCCGACCCCTCAGGGAAGCTCTGCCTGGGCCGGCCTGGTCACTGTCCGTCATCCCTGCTGGCCCATGACAGGCCCTGGCTGCTTTTATTGACAGCTGTGGTGGCCAGCAAGCTGCAGGGCTTGAGTGGGCTCCTGTCACGTGGAGAGATGCCCATAGGGCACCTCTTGGCATAAGCAGGAGCATATGTGGCCAGGTGACTGCATCTCTCAGCCTGGCCCCTGCCCGCAGCGCCCCCACTGATGCAGGCCCCACTGAGAGGAGGAGGCAAGCTTGCTCCCGGGGTGGCTTCTGTCCTCCTGCAGAGGACCCTGCACAGCTCTGACCAGACAGACCCCAGGCATTTTCAGGTCCAGCAGAGCCTTCCTAGCACTGAGCTCGTAAGTGCTCATGTCCTCGGAGTCTTGAGTTCTGGATCCTGGGTCCTGGGAAAGCTCCTGGTGGCCCTGGCAGGGGGTGCTGTCCCAGTAACCGCTGTCTGGTCGCCTAGGCCCAGCCACGGAGTCCTAAGTGAAAGTCTTGACCAAGATTTGAGCCTTTGAGCAGAAAAGTGCACAAAATAGACCTTCCAAGGCTGCGGGTGGGCAGCGGGGGTGGGGGTGGGGTGGTGACCCCTCCTTTGTCCTTCCAGGCAGTTGCCAGACCCGGCCATTGAGGACCAGGGCAGGGAGTATGTGCAGCCCATTCTGAGCAAGTATGCGGCTGTGTGCGTGCGCTGCCCAGGCTACGGCACCAGGTATGGCGGGCTGCTGGGTGCCTCGTCTCACCAGGTACCTGGCCTTACCTGAGCTCTGTGGATCCCAGAGCCTCTGCCTTATCTAGAAGTGGATGCCATTTCAGCTCAGGGGGCTGTGGGGTGAGCAGATGCCAGCTCCCAGGGGTGCTGCAGACCAGGCACAAGGCCCCCAAGGCTTCCTTTGCTTCCCAAGAGGGGGTCCTAGGCTGCCCCCTACCCTCTTACACAGCCACAAGGGGGCCAAGATGGCATTGGGCAAATCCCTGTCAGCCTGGAGGTCCCAGTGTCTGGCTCCTCCCTTCACTTGCCTGTGTCCCTGGGCCTGTCATGTTCTTTGCGTGACCAGGGTTGGGATTAGGTCACCTCAGCCTGGGATGTTGCCGTATCCCAGGAAAGGCGAAAATGTCTCAGCCGCGAGATGATAATGTCCAGGGGGGAGAAGCTGTTGGCATGGGTGTCTGCTGCCCTGGCAAATTCCTTTCCTGTCTTCCTCCCACCTGGGTGTGAGCTGGGAGTCCTGGCCTGCCCATGTGGCTCCATCAGAGGGCAGCCCACATGCTGTACTTAGGGATGGCTGGGAGGCACAGAGGAGGGTAGGTTGGGGTGCAGCCAGTGCGTTAGGAGTGCTGCTGCCACGTGCCTGGCCTACCTGGCCTGGAGGTGGAGCACAGCCTCATGTGCAAGCCACATCTGCCTAGGCTCAGCTTGCACCAGGCCCCAGGGGCACCAGCCTTGTGTCAGGCTGGGGACCTGCAGCGACTGTGGTGGATGGACTGTGCCCTTGGGCTACCAAGGACTCGGAAGAGGTGTTCAGGCCGTGACCAGTACTGACTAATGTCAGGATGATGTCACACATATACCTGGTTTTTGGATTCAGGTTGTTTGAGATTGAGTGAGCCAAGCCCCTCCTTTCCCCGCAGGTGGGAGAGGTTGGGTTATTGCTGCCTCCGTGCACATAAGGAGGTGGTTCTCCCAGGAGGATGTGTGCCAACCTTGCTGCGGTGACATGGCTGAGGCTCTGCTGATGCTGAGGGCATCCGGCAGGGGAATGGACATGTGAAGTCCTGGCGACCAGCAGGCCCCTCTGAGTCTTCTATCCTTCAGGAAATGACCGTTTCAAGCCCTCTGGCTGGGGGAACGGATGGTGTGAATGCCGGCACTGATGCTCCCAGGCCCCGGGAGGGTTGCACACCTGAATGGCAGTCTTTCTGGCTGGGCGGTTTTCTCCTTGTCAGGGGCATATTTCCCTCAAGCCCTCCGCCATCATAGGCTTATTTTTTTTAAAAAATATATTTTATTGATATTTTACAGAGAGGAAGGGAGAGGAATAGAGAGTTAGAAACATTGATGAGAGAGAAACATCGATCAGCTGCCTCCTGCACACCCCCTACTGGGGATGTGCCCGCAATCAAGGTACATGCCCTTGACCGGAATCGAACCTGGGACCCTTCAGTCCGCAGGCCGACGCTCTGTCCACTGAGCCAAACCAGTTAGGGCAATAGGCTTATTTTTTTACTAAACCATGTGCTCGTGTGAACTTGGTGTGTGAGGCAGAATGCCAGGTCTACTCCTGGCATGTCTGGTTGCATGGCCACTGGGTCCCACCTTGACTGTGGGGAGGGCCAGGCAGGAGGACAGGTGCGTTGAGCATTTGGAACAGGGTAGTGGGGGAGGCGAGGGAGGGCACAGAGGAGTTTTCTAGGTGAAGAAGGCCTGGTCCCCAACTAGTTGACAGGTTGACCGCTTGGAAGAGCTGAGTGTGGCCGAATGTCCGTAGTTGTGCTGGGCCGTTGCTGGAGAGCCCAGGGCTCGCCCTGGTGAGAGTGGTGGGTGGTTGGAACTTGTACCACAGAGGGTGGGCAGGGAAGGCTGGGGGTGTGTCAGAGTGGAGGCAACAGGAATCATCAAGCTTCATCCTGGGGGGCCAGCCAGGGAGCTCTAGGCCCCACCAGGCTCAGTGCCCAGCTACCCCAGAGGGTCCCTCTACAGTGGGGCCTTGACTTACGAGTGTCCCGACTAACGAGTTTTTCGAGATATGAGCCGTCTCTCAGCCGATTTTTTGCTTTGAGTTGCGAGCTAAAATTCGGGTTACGAGCCAGCTTCAGGTACCCCACCGGTAGTTGGCGCAGCGAACGTCACAGTGAACGCCACAACATCAGCCCAGCATCACGTGTCTCACTCGTTCATTGTTGATTTGACATACGAGTAATTTGAGTTATGAGCTCCGTCACGGAACAAATTAAACTCGTAAGTCAAGGCCCCACTGTGCTTCCCAGGGCTGCTGCTCATTTGTGACCTGCCTCTAGCCATGCTGAGTGCCTAGCACAGGCCCCAGGTGTGGTGGACTTGCCCCTTCTGCCTCAGATCTGACCCCAGTTGGGGCGCTGACAGGTGGGCCGGAGCCGAGGGCAGCGGGCTGAATGTGGGCCCTGTGCTCTCTTTCAGAACCAACACGGTCATCCTCGTGGACGTGGATGGGCATGTGACCTTCACAGAGCGCAGCATGGTAGACAAAGACCCTTCCCGCTGGGAGACCAGGACCCACGAGTTTAGGCTGCAGAGCTAAGACCTCCCCCTGAGCGCAGCCAGCAGGCTCCTGTAAGGCCCTGCCTTGAGGACTGGATGGGAACCTTCCACAGCACAGGCACTGCCTGTGTGTGACTTGGCCAGCATCCCTCAGCACCAGGGCCCTCTGATTTGTGTGTGATCTGTCTGTGTCCCAGTATCCAGCTCGAAGTCCATCCTTATGCCAGTGGGAGTGGCAAGTCCCACACAAGCCAGGTCAGGGGCAGGGCCAGGTGCATTCACACATGCACGGCACACCTGGCCCTGCCCCCTCCCCGTGCATAGAGACACCCACGCAAGGCACATGCTTACATACATGCCTACAGGTGTACAGGCACACATGTACACCCATGGGGCACACACACACAGGCACAGGCAATAGATGTGTGCACACTTGCTGGAACACACACACGCTCCCAGGCATACACACACATGCGCTTGTGCCAGACAGGCAGAGGTGTGCCTCTCACACCCACACTCACTTCTGGCCAGTGGGTCTTTGGCTTTGATCAAAAACAACAGGAGTAGACCTTTGTCTAGAAGTGTCCCCTTCTCTCCTGGACATGGTCCAGTTCCTGACAACCAGACCTGCTCTTGGAGGACAGACAGGCCACATTTGAAATGAGGAATGAGGAAGAACCAAGGAAAACCTTCTCTCATAACGGAAGCACAGTCTGGTTGGTGGATCCAGTGGTCCCGTGTGCATGGGACTATCCCGTGACTGGAGTCCTGCGTGTGCTGGGCACCCAGAAGCCTGTCAGGCCCTCCCTGCCCACTGGTCGTGGGTTCTGGGCAGGTCCATCTCGGCGAGGGGACACAGCCAGCCCCTGCCCATCCCTCCTCTTTAGGCGAATCACACTTCACAGGAATCTGTACTTGAATGTGAGACGTTGACAATAAAACGCTGAGGCTATGGTGAGTCCATCCATTCCATGTGCTTAACTTGTGTGACGGGGACAAATGGAGCTGTTGTATGCGCGGGGTTGGTGGCTGCTCTCCGGCCTGCAGGAGCTCCTGCGGCACAGGTGATAGTACTGGGCTCTTTCCACTTTCTCCTTTGCGCACGGTCTCCTGAGCACTATGCGAGTTCTTGGGCTGATGCCCGGGTGCGGGAGAGCCTGTGTATATGGGATATAGTAGGTGCCAATGACAGGGCCTCCTGAGCTAGGCTGAGGAGCCAGGGATTTATCCAGGTTCAGTGGGGAGCCCCCGAGGACCCCCTGAGGGAGCAGTGTGGTCAGACCTGCACTTGGTGTGGACTGTGGAGTGGGTTTCAAGGTAAGAGGGTAATGGAGTCTGTCTCAATCCCAGGACCAGTGTTGGGGGCAAGCACTCGGGAGTTTCTATCCCCATCTGGGGCCAAGTATAAGGGGGTCCCACATGTCCAATGCCAGGACCCAGGCTTCCCTGTGCCTCTGTAGCCGACCCCCAACTTGGCCTTCGCAGAGAAATGAGAGCTTATGGGGTGTGGACATGCATCAGGCCCGACTTGGCTGCCCATCCCTTCCTCCTCAGCCCTCAGGGGTCTGATACCCTCCCTGGCTCACTGTGAACTCAGAAGAACAGCGCTTGAGCAGAGCCAGGCTTGGAGGGGGCTTGCATAGGTGACACAGCCCATGTCCCAAGCCCCTGAAGGTCTGGCTGAGCCAGATGAGCCAGACTTCCAGCTCAGGCACTGCTAGTGCCAACACCCTTTATCTGCCTCAGCGGGCTGCCCCACAGCGTGGACCAGTGCCCCACCAGTATCCACCCTAGCCAGGCATGTCCACCCTCGTAGGGCACCACTGGGCTGGGGGCAGAGCCACTGAAGAGCCTCCAAAGGTATTCACCTCTGTCCCAGGGGTGGGCATCAAGGGAAAACTTCCCCACCTGTGTTATGGCCCCCTCTGTGTCTAGCCTGCCCAGGGCTCCCCAATAGCCTGGGTCCCCCAAGGAACAGGCAGCTCAAGGTGTTTGGGATTGTTAGGGGTTGAATTTTGTGCCCCCTAAAAGATATGCTGTAATTTTAACCCCAGGACCTCAGAATGGGACCGTATTAGAGGTAATCAAGATAAAGTGAGGCCATTAAGGTGGGCCCTAAGCAAATATGACTGATGTCCTTAAAAAAAAGGGAAAATTTGGACATGCACACAGGAGAACGCCCTATGAAGACGATGACTATGCTGCCTCAGACCAAGAAATTACCAGAAGCTGGGAGAAAAGCCTGGAACAGATCTTTCCCAGCACCATTAGAGGGTGCATGGCCCTGCTGTCACCTTGATCTTAGACTTCAGGCCTTCAGAACTGTTGTTGAAGCCACTCATTTGTGGTACTTGGTTATGGCAGTCCTAGCAAAATGATATAATTGTGACCTTCACTTGACAGATGAGAAAACCAAGGCTTAGATATGCACTATAACAGCCCCTCAGTCCCCAGAGCACATGGGAGACAGAGCCCTGAGGCTAGGAAAGAGCATGAAGAGGACAAGATGTGTGCCTGGCCCTCTAGGCCCACAGTGTCCTCCCACTCTGGCCTCATCCTGCTGTTGGCACCCCTCCCACCTTCACCTCACTTAAGCCCCTGCCACTGCTATGGCCACATTTTCTGCACAGCTCCTGCCCCAGGGCCTTTGCACTCATTGTCCCCTCTGCCTAAATAACTCCTCTTCCAAATATCCCAACTGCACTCTCCATCACATTCTGCAGACTGTTGCTAAAGTGATTTTTGGAGGGGCATCCCATCTAAATTTGCCATTTTCTCTGCCTGGCTCCCTGCTCTTTATATCAGTTAGCACTGTCTGACATACTATGTATTTTGATTGTTTATGTGGCCCGCGGGCCACATGCAAATACAAATATTGTATTTGTTCCCGTTTTGTTTTTTTACCTCAAAATAAGATATGTGCAGTGTGCACAGGAATTTGTTCATAGTTTTTTTTTTAAACTATAGTCCGGCCCTCCAACGGTCTGAGGGACAGTGAACTGGCCCCCTGTTTAAAAAGTTTGAGGACCCCTGGTTTATGTGTTTCCCTGTCAGGAGAGCTCCAGGAAGTTAGGACATTTCCTCTTCTGCCTACTGCTATATCCTGATGCCTTGAATCAAGGATATAGTGCTGATGTTGCTCAAGCCTCCATTTATTTAGTGCCTTTTAGTGAGGCCCCTATACTGTTAGAAGGGCACCAGGACCATAGGAGTCTGATGCCTTCTAGAAGCACTTTTGGCATAGCATCCAGGAAGTCCTGAGACTGATGCTGGCATGGCTTAGCCAGTCTTCTCTGCTTCCCACCGGATGCATTTGGTCCCTGAGTTCCCCAACATGGGTCTTCTTCTCCTGGGTGAATGGGGAATTCATCCATCCCTTTCTCAGATGCCCTTTTCCCCAGATGAGCTTCTCCTACTCTCTGGCTCCACAACAGCCAAGTTGAGATGTGCTGGCGTGGAGGCCAGAGGTGTGGAGCTGACTGATGCAGAGGCAAGTCTATGAGGAGGCACGACCAGCTCAGGAATGCAGCCTGACCTTAAGTTTTGTCCTGGCAGGTCTGCAGAGACTGCCCATGACACCCCATCTTTTGACAATTTTTGTCAACCGATGGTCATTGGTGCTAATTCAATGCCAACAGGAATTCCCAATTTGGGGTGTGGTGACAAGGAAACTTTATTCAGTGCAAAACAGCTAAATTGTAATAGCAGTGTGGCTGGGAAAACAGCACAGCTGTAGAACAGCCCTGGGGCCAGGCCCCTCTCCAACTAGACAGCTCTGCTCTGTCCTGCAAGATGCTCTGCTGTGGCCTGCAAGACATCTCCAGTGTTTCTGCTCAGCCAGGGAAAGTCTTCAGTCTTTGATGAAAAGGGAAAGTGTGTTCTCTGAGCCAGAAGGGAGTTGGCTTTTAAGGACAGAAGTCCCTGCTCCTGGTCCCTGATTGGTCTGTCCTCATGCAAGGACTCTCTAAACCAGTGGTTCTCAAACTTCCTAATGCCTCGACCCTTTAATACCTCATGTTGTGGTGACTCCCAATTTCATTGTTACAAATTGAACATAATTAAAGCATAGTGATTAATCACAAAAACACTATGTAATTATATATGTGTTTCCCGATGGTCTTAGGCAAACCGCAAAGGGGTTGCGACCCACAGGTTGAGAACCGCTGTTCTAAACCTTGCAGTTTGGTTGGTCCAAAAGACAGTCCTGATTGGTTAGAATAGAGCAACTGTGATTGGTTGAAACTGCACAGCCTCAGCCCTATTGGTTGAAATAGGATTCTCAGAGCTCCTTCATAAAGCCTGGCTAAGATGGCAAAAACATAGTGCAGGAAGGGAGTTCAGTGGTCGCTTCTCTGTGAAGTGCAGATTGTGTGACAGGCTCATGTGCAGAAATGGCTGCTAGACTGTTTTTTAAAATTTGAGCTCAGTTAGCTACCAGGAGCCCTTCTTAGTAGTTATCTTTTTTTTCCCTCAGGGTTCACAATTTAGATGTGTTTACATTTGCTGGTGACCATGATCACTTGGTTAAGGTGCCAGCAGATGGCATCATCCAGGCTCTTCAGCAGAAACCTGGGTGGCCAGGCTAAAGTGCAAACAAGCCCAGAGGGAAGTTGACCACCCCAGCTTGGGCTGGAGTTCCAGATTCCAGGCTTCAATCTTTGTGACTCTGAGACTGGAGCCAGGTGGGGATTGTGGGGGAGGGCTGGTGGTGAGGGTCCTTGTCCATCATCCAGATGGTAGAGATAGCTAAGGCTGAATGGTGGTGTAGCAAGGGTCCCATGGGCCCTGATGGCACTGGGCCAAGGTCAGCAGCTGACCAAATCCAGGAACCAGAACCTCATGAGGCTCAATGCCCACTGTGAGGTGCCTGGTGCTGGCAGCTAGGTGGATGGAAGGGGGCAGGAAGGGAAGAATGGGACTGTGTAGGCTTCCAGTTTCCTCACCTGCAATATTCTCTCTCCCCGCTTTTATTAACCTTTCCATTGAAGGAATTTCAATTTGCTACAAACTTCAAAAAAATAGAACTATGGACGTATGAAAAAAAGGCCACATGTTAACCTGACTAGTTCAGGGAAGGCCTGCATGGCGGTTTTGCAAATTCCAAGACCAAAAGTAACCACAAAGGATGGTCTGAAATTAAAAATTTAATTAAAAGCAGTTGATAGGAGGTAGTCATTTCCTAGGCCAGTATTTTCCCTGACAAAGATCAACTTCTGATCTTTACTGAGCCTATTGTCTTTCTGCATCTAAGATAACATACCTGTGAAGTGTCTGGATAACCAAAAATGGCACCAAGGGAGACCACAAATTCCCTCATTGTTATTGTTATCATGTTAATTGTTGACTGTTAAGTATTCTGTACCCACCTATGTAATAGAAGCATGTGTCCATCCTTTCACTTTTTATCCAATCTCAGAGGTTTCCCCACTTTGCTTTCTCCCACCTCCCTAATTTAGCACCAATGGATTTCAAGTAACTCACTTATGGCTCCTCTTTTGATGGTAGTTTATAAAAACAAGGTAAAAACCAGCCATTCTCCAGAGCATTATCCCAATACATTGAGGTTTTGCTTCCTGGCAATTGTCAACAGTTTGGCTCAGATTACTCACAAAAATTCTTTACAGGTTTGAATGTGTGTGTTTTTGTATGTTAACAGAACAAAGAATTCCAATATCATTCATCCACTTCCCCCAAATGTTAACACCTTACCTAACTACAATAAAATGATTACAACCAGGAAAGTAGCATTGTTAAATACTATTAACTTATCTACAGACTTCATTTGAATTTTACCAATTGCCCCACTAATATCCCTTTCCTAAGCCAGCTTCCAATCTCTGATCCAGATCCCACATCGCAATTTGTTGTGTCTCCTTTAATCAAAGATGGCTCCTTAGTCTGTCTTTGACTTCCATGATCTTGACACTTTAGAAAAGTACCAGCCAGTTTTTTGGTAGAATGTCTCTC